AGGAGTAGGAGTAGGAGTAGGAGTAGGAGTAGGAGTAGGAGTAGGAGTAGGAGTAGGAGGAGTAGGAGGAGTAGGAGTAGTAGTAGGAGTAGGAGGAGTAGGAGGAGTAGGAGGAGTAGGAGGAGTAGGAGTAGTAGGAGTAGTAGGAGTAGTAGGAATAGTAGTAGTTGTAGTAGTAGTAGTAGTAGTAGTAGTAGCAGTCCACCCTGGTGGCAACCATAGTAGGCGCAGATATCGTAACACGGGCCTCGGTGCTGACCACGGCGGCGAGGATGTGTTGGGCAATTGCCCCCTGGCGCATGCTCGGAGGCATGAGGCGAAGGGTGGGGATTCAAGATAGTGTACAAGCCGTATGTATATGTATATGTTCTTGTATATGTATCTGCACATGTATGTGTGAGTGAGTGAGTGAGTGAGTGAGTGAGTGAGTGAGTGAGTAGCTACAGGTATGTAGCAGCCCTAAACCCTAAACCCTAGATGACTAGCAGCTACCTAAGCAGCTAGGCAGCTGGGTGGCTAGGTGTATGAGTAGATAGAAGATATAAACAGACAGGTGAATAGGTACATATCTATCTAGATACATACATACATAGATACATAGATAGATACATAGATAGATACATGGATAGATACATAGATAGATACATAGATAGATACATAGTTAGATACATAGATAGATACATAGATAGATACATAGATAGGTACATAGATAGGTACATAGTTAGATACATAGATGGATACACAGATGGATACACAGATAGATACATAGATAGATACATAGATAGATACATAGATAGATAGATAGATAGATAGATAGATAGATAGATAAGTAGATAGGTAGATAGATAGATAGATAGATAGATAGGTAGGTGGGTAGGTAGGTAGGTAGGTAGATAGATAAGCAGATAAGTAGACAAGTAGAGAGGTAGACAGCCAGGCAGATCGATGGCCAGATAGAGTCTGTATGTAGAGAAAGAGACATGCGTGCGTGCATATACGTGTGTGTATGTTTTGATACACGTCTAGCTTATGTCTTTATCTGTCTATTTATGTGTATACTTACTGCTCCATAGGTGTATGTCTGTATATTATGTGTAGATATATATATATACACGTATATACATATATACATACATACATATATATATATATATATGTACAGTCTTATTTACTTATATTATACATCTTTGTTACTATTCGTGACAACGAGCTTCCGGCTCCTGGCCTGAACAAGTTCTTGCGTTTGGCTGCCGGCCATGTTTGTATCTGTTGGCGTTGGGGACGGCTCGAATTGAAGCGAACCCGAGTGTCAGGCCGCAGAGCCTAGGATTTTGTTCAGACTTGGCCGTGTTCGACTCTTCACTGATGAAGACCGCAAATCACAGCAGAATTTCACGGAAGATTCCGATGAACGAGGTACTTTAAAACCTTTTGTCTCAAATTTGAAACCCCGGCATCCGAGGCCAAGCAAGCCTCGGTGAGGCGCCGAGAGGACGCAGAGACCTGGAGCTGGGCTCTCCGGGGACAAAGGGCAAACAGCCGGGGTCAACGAGCCAAGAACGTGAGGGGGACTTCAAGGGAGGTGACACCGAAATGGGTGTAGGGATCTTCCTGTTTGGAGCTGCCCCGCGTTGAACCAGAATGCCAGCATTCGGCGGAGCTTCCTCCCAACCCCCTCGGCCCACCCTCAACTGCAAATCCTGTCCAGGCACAGTGTCCCTCCCTGTCTTCTCCCCTGTCGGCCGTCCTCCACGGCTTTCAGCGGTGCTCCCACTGCGGCTGCTAAGACAGGCTGCAAGGAGCTCGGTGTAACCCATTCTGGCACCAGGTAGCGCACCTGGTGCCGAGCTCACAATTCGGAGACTGTTGTTTCGCCCAGGAGGGATCCCGGCATGGTTGAGCAGCATGTAGGTGCGGGGTATGGGGCGTGGATTTGGGGTTAGGCTTCGGCTTCAAGTGAGGTTAGAAGAAATGATTTCCGAGGCATCCCTGCATACCTCTCAAGTCCAGCTTCTGCCTAAATGCCCACTTCATGGCAAACCCACACCGCCTTGCAGTTACTCTGATGATTCGGCAAGCTCAGGTTGAGAAGACAGTTCACAGACAACAAGTAGATTCAGGTGAAAAGCCACTCAATCGCCCCCCCCCCCCCCCCCGTGTGCAGCATTTACGAGCAATGCAACCTTGGTCTGGAATTGCGTTTGCACGGTCGTGACACGACTCCTTCGAGGGCATGTACGCTGCTCCGTCGGTCCAGCCCCATTGAACTACTGCATGCTGCACCGTAGCGGCCTTGACACCATTGGAACAAGCTGGGCATACTGGTAGGTAGGTGTTGGTACAGGTGCCGAGCATGGAAGCTTGTCCTGGAAACGTCGACTTCATGGGCAAAGGCATCAAGAAACTCCGCCCCATCAAACTTCGCAAGATCCTGCAAGCAAGATTGAAGTTGCAATGTCAATGCAAAATGCAGGGACCATGCATCCCCGCAGAAATTCACACAGCAAATGCGAACAGCTTGAGAGGCCTACAGCACTCTCACACAAATTTGCGCTTGCTGGTGGTGAGATGGAAGCAATGCCGGTGGGTGTGTCGGTGGCGCCGGTGGTGGCGTTGGTAGCGGCAGAGGTAGTGCTGGTAGCGGTTACAGGCCAATGCGCAGAATCGCAACGAGGCTATTGCCGAGCGGGCGCACAGCAATGGTTCGCTCAAAAAGTTGTTCATCGAGTTTTGATTTCGTTTCACTAGCAGGACAGCATCAACAAATACAGGGACATGCACAACAAGTGTCGCGCATAGCCCACAATTAGGATGTTGTTGATAATCTGTCTCTAGTCGACATATCCTCTGCTGGCTTTGGGCACACTTCGGACCGCTGCAGACGCGGTTGTTTCTCGACACGGAACTGAATCCGTGCATCCATCCACCTGCCAACCTGAATTTAAAACTGATCCTGGAAGGAAGCTTGCTAGCAGAACGTTAACTTCACGAAAACAATCATCTCTAACCATGCTTGCATCGCTAGCAGAACATTCACTTCACGAAAAAGCTCACTCTAACCATGCTTGCATCGGGGCCTGTACTTGCCAAAGCGAGATGCGCCATCGTAAAGCCACAGCGACAACTAATCTTCACAGAAACACGACCGTCGGAGACTTGGAAGCAAAGACTTCCAAGCCAGGGAACCTCAAGATTTTTTGACCAAGCCCGTCTTGGAAGTGCATACGTCGTGTGCCACGAGCCTCTGAAGCAATACGAGATGCACAGGAGAAGGGCACCAACTCCAAGGCGTGCTAAACCTCCTCAAAGCAATCTTGGGCTCCTGGACTTGCATGTCCACCAGAACGACGTACATCATCTGAGCCTGATCACGCAGCGCCCGGAACCACAATCCCTGCCCGCCGTGCCAAAACCAACCAAGAGCGTACTGCACCAACGATTTCAAGATAAACCTGCTCATCTTGGTGCCTGCGAAGGGTTCAGGCCGTGGGTGAAGCATTCACGGTCCAAGCTTTCGCGGTGTCACCTACTGTATCGTTCCGGAGTTCACAGGCGCGGAACCCACGAGCACGGCCAAGCCTCCCCCAGGCTGTCGGCACTCTCCTCCCTGGGCTGTTCAGTAGCTTCGAATGGAGAACTGACATCTCAATGGAGAAAGTACAACACAAACACTGATTGACTCAAGGTTTGCGGCTGGATCCAGGTGTACTTCGCAGATCGACTGGACTCTGAGGTAACTGTGCGGCAAGAAAACGCATGTTTACCCAGTTTACCCTTGGTCGTCATTGGACGATTCGTCAAAATCATGATCTCAAGCCAACCCAACGACCCCGCCAGCCATCTCTGAGCCCAAAAGGTCCGCCCGAACCCGAGGTCTTGGCGAGGCCACGTCCCTGAGGGTGGTAGAAGCCTCAGAAGAACGCAGGGTTTTGGGCTTGGGACCCCAGTTTCTTCGAGTGTTTCCAGTGTTACGGTTTCCGTTGGCAGCGTGGCTTTCCGGTAGAGGGTATGAGCCACTTCGCGTTATCACGACAACGAGATGCCAGGAAAGAGAAGTCATACAGACTCAAAGCACCCCTGATGACCGACGCTGCACCCAACTTGGCTGCTCCAGGTCCCGCATCGAACCAAACACCCTCAATACCTCGAAGCCCAGGTCGAACCAAGGAGAGCCCAAGCTGTAAACACGCTCACACTTTGGTGTTGCGGACGGTCTTACCCTTTTCAGCGTTGAGCTCAAAAAAGGCTTTGCCATTCCAAGGCATGTTAAGACAGTGTTGGATTCTGGCTGTTAGCTCTCCAACTCTGCAACGCTGTATCGGAGCACAAACTGCACTCTTTGTGAATGGTTTGGATACTCTGGCAAGCAGCAGTGGTGGTTGTCGAGGGGTGCTTTGATGACGCGAAGAAAACCTTCGGACACTTCGATGCTGATGCAAGCACTCCAATATGGACACTGATTCCTCACTCTTGGTTAATGCAGGACTGCAGTCATAGGACGTCTTGTCCGTCTTGTCTACGAGACATGGATGTCAAAGATGTACACGGCAAGCAAAGCCACACTGCCCACAGTGCTGAATCCTCGCCTCCATGCCACTGACAGCAACAGCCCCGAGGGTGAAGGGTCGCAGGCTCATCTGGCTCCCCAGCGCCTGAGGATGCAAACAGCCCCTGCCAGAAGTACCCTGGACTCGCGGGCGGTGCAATATCAGCTTTCAACAACCACTCGAAGTGACGGAATGCTCGGAGCTGCAGCCTTACCTGCTCATAGGATCCCGCCTCGTGACCCCAAGAATATTCAGATCAATCAAGCAGGAACACAGCGACTCCAACCCCTGAGTCTTCGAACCCAAAGACAATCTGCTGACATGACCAGCCAATCTGGCCTTCGCGACCGCGGAACCGAGCCTCTCTTCTGTGAGACGGCCCCGCATGTCCCCGGCCGTGCGCCCGGCCGGGGTCCGGACCTGGGAGCCAAATCGCATGGACTCATCGTGAATCATGCGTGCTGGATCCTTCTAAATGTTGTCTGTCAGCCTTTTCCCTGGATGCCACTCTTGTCGACCCTAACCTCACCATCATTATCATCATCTTCTCTGCAGGTCCGAACCGCAACCACCAGACCGCTGAAACGACGAGCTACGACGGCGATGACGACCGTCACCACCACCACGACCGCAAACCACCAACAGTCACCGACGGCACCGCGACCTCCTGATACTACTAGTACTAGTACAAAAACCAGTACTAGCACCAGTACTAGTAAGAGTACGAACACTAATAGTAGCAATATTAGTAGCAGTAGAAGTAGAAGTAGAAGTAGAAGTAGAAGTACAAGTAGAAGTAGAAGTAGTTGTGGTAGTAGTAGAAGTAGTAGTAGTAGTAGTAGTAGCAGCAGTAGTAGTAGTAGTAGTAGTAGTAATAGTAGTAGTAGTAGTAGTAGTAGTAGTAGTAGTAGCAGTAGTAGGAGCAGCAGCAGCAGCAGCA